TCGTCAGAGACAGCCCAAAAGTGCAGCGTTTATTTTGCGAGAGAGATACTGGAGGATTGTCAGTGAAACCATGGATCACCATTCGGTGCCAACGACCCACTGTTTGGGAACCAGACCATTTACAATCTAAAGCTAGAAGTACCTCACTGCAGATGCAACCTCTGATGAAAGAAATGAAAGGCATTTTCTCAACAGACAGTTCCTGGTGCCAGAGTTTCTTTACGCTGGATTTGTGATCTGCTAGAAGGGAACATTAGCAGTGATAATAAAGCTTTCCTTGTATGGAAATAGTGACTTGCGTATGCATATCTGTGCTGGAGCTCAGTAATGTGTGCTGAGAACTGTTTAAGGTCATTTCTACATCAGTTCTTGGCATCAGGCTTTGGGCACTCTTGGAAACCTGTGCGTGGACACTCACACTTCCTTAAGAGATTAAGGTAAGGGGCTGGAGAAATGGGTCAGAGGTTAAGAGTGGGGACTGTTCTTTCAGAGATTCCAAGTTCAAGTCCTCACATTCACTTGGTGGACAACTGCGATTACAAACTCCATTCCAGTGGTGGCGCGTGCCTTTAATCCCAGCACTCTGGAGGCAGAGGCAGGAGGATTTCTGTAAGTTTGAGGCCAGCATCGTCTACAGAGCGAATTCCAGGACAGTCTGAACTGTTACACAGAGAAACCCTGTCTCAAAACAAAACAAAACAACAACAAAAAAAACAAACCTTCCATTTCCTAAGTGACACAAAAGCCCTCTTGGCCTCTGCAGGTATCACATCTATGTGGTGTACACACATACATGTGGGAAAATAGCCATACATGTAAAATAAAATAAATTTTTATTTATTATTAGTTTTTCAAGACAGGGTTTCTCTGTGTAGCCCTGGCTGTCCTGTAACTCACTCTGCAGACTAGGCTGGCCTCAAAATAGCCGTCTGCCTCTGCCTCCTAAGTGCTGGGAGTAAAGGTGTACACTACCACCCACCCGGCTAATTTTGGTTTCAAAATGCTACAGGTGACTATTCACTGTCCCAAACTCCCATGGGCATCAAAACTGTCTAGTTTTGACCCAATAAGAGTCAAAGACTCAGCTGGGTGGTAGTGGCATATATCTTTAATCCCTCCCAGCACTTGAGATGTGGAAGCAGGAGGATCTCTGAGTTTGAGGCCAGCCTGATCAACCAAGAGTTCCAGGACAACCAGAGCTGTCTGAAAAAACCAAAGACTCCACTCATTAAACCCCACAAAGGAGCTGGGTGGAGTGGCACATGGGAGGCAAAGGCAGGCAGACCTGTCTCAGAACAAACGCCCCACAGATTAGCCACAGCTCCATGGGTGTTCACATACATAGAGAAGTCTCTATATAGTACAGAAACTGACAGCCACTTTCCATGACTGAGCGGACAAGTGATTGTGACTGCAACTCCAGGCTAGTCTTTGGGTATATACGCATACTTGTGGAGGCCAGAAAAGAATCTCAGGTGCTATCCACCTTGGTTTTAGAGACAGGGTCTCAGACTAGGGAAGAATTCACTCAGTTTAGCCTGTCTCCCCAATGTTGAAATTATAAGCACATGCCATCAGTCCCAGCCCAGCTCTGAGGTATGAGTTCTGAGGGCTGAACCCAGGGTTCTTATGCATGTACTGCAAGTACTTTACTGTCTCCACAGGCTTCTTTATAATTCAAAACTTGACAGGGCAGATTTGTGTAGAAGCCCAATGGCTCTCAGCAATGCCACTGGCGAGGACCTGGCTCTTTAAACAGGGCCTATATAAGTGAGTGTTCTGTGGCTGGTACATCCAGAGTGATGACCTATTATCTTGCTAAGTCTTTCACTGGGGATTTGTCCCTGTATCCCTGGTTCAGAGGGGATACACTTCACTGAAGCAAGAGTATACAGCACAGTATTCTTCCCAAGGCCAACAATGGAGGATGGGCGTCCAGAAAAGGGCTCCCAAGCTTTCCAGTCAGGTGGAAGGATCCATCTGCAGTGCAGTAGATGGCTGGACTCTTTTTCTCAGCGTCAGCTGCATGCCTCTATACACATCCCTTTCCAGTCTTCCTTTCCTAGACCCATGAAAAGAGCCTCCTCCTCCTATCCTGAGATCATTTAAAACTGAGACTGTTGTTAGTTCAAGTGGGAAGGGATTTTAGGAGAGCTGTATTTTATTCACTATGGAACTTTTAAAATTTTCAAAATAATCAAGTTTTTTGTCTTAGCTTAATATAAATCTTTATTAATTTATTATTTTCTGTGTATGAGTGTTTGGGTACCATGTGCATGCCTGGTCTGGTGCCGATGGAGGCCAGAATATGTCAGATCCCCTGGAACTGGAGTTATAGGCAGTTGTAAACCACCCTATGTGGTGCAGGAGAATTGTCTGTATTCTGTCAATCATGTATTTTAATAAAACGCTGATTGGCCAGGCAGGAAGTACAGGCGGGTCAACCAGACAGGAAGTAGAGGCGGGGCAATGAGAATAGAAGAAGCTTCCTCCGCCCTAGCCTTCCGCCATTCCTGCCCAGATCACCGAAGAAGCAACATGTGAGTTGCCCAGCTAGAAAAGGTACTGAGCCATGTGGCTAACGTAGATAAGGATAATGGGGTAACATAAGTTATAAGAGCTAATAAGTAGCCTGACCTAATGGGCCAATCAGTTTATAATCTTATGGAGTCTTGTGTGTGATTTTCTTTGGGGTATGCCGGTTGTGGGGTGCCAGGTGGGACAGATACCCCAACAAGCCGGCCTTCATGTTACACATATGGATGCTGGGACTTGAACCCCAGTCCTTTGGAAGAATAGCCAATGCTCTTAACTATCTCTCTAGCCAGCCCCTAGTTTAATATGAATTTAAATAAAGCTTCTTAGTTGACAATATGTAAATGGAACGGACATGTAAACATTTTACAAATTAGAGATAAATTATGGTTTGAGTCCTAAAATGGTCTTTTTTGTTTTTTTGAGACAGGATCTCAGGCCAGTCTTTTTTGTTGTTTTTTGAGACAGGTTCTCTCTTGCTGTTCTGGAACTCACTATGTAGACCAGGCTGGCTTCAAACTCAGAGATCTGTCTGCCTTTGCTGGGACTAAAGGTGTGTACCACTACACCTGTTTGGGCTAATCTCTTAAATTAGTATTTGGCATGGGATGATCTTGAATTTTTTAAATTATTATTAGTCTCTTTATTGTATTGCAAAACACAGTTCATGTGTGGTGTCAGAGGGCAAGTTAATGGGTGCTCTTCTTCAACCATGTGGGTCCTGAGGATAAAACTCGGGTCGTCAGGATAAAGCAACTGCTGTAGCTCACTGAACCTGCTACTGGTCCAACCTTGAATGCTTTGGTCCTCCTGCCTCCACTTCACAAGTGTTGGGTCTATGGTACTCGTTATCACCCCCAATTTATACCAAACCTGGGCTGTGTACATCCTCCCATGAAAGCTATCAGCACCACTATATCCCAAACTCAGCTCCTAAAGTTTCACATAAAACACGGTTTAGTCAGTGAAGGATGGCTTAGATCTCAAACGGACTCTGTTTCTAGATGTTACCTCTTTAAAGGACTGTTGTAAATATTAAAGATGTGTTACTTTTATGTTGCATTTGTTGAACTCTGTGAAGCTGTGTTAGTGTCCCTGTCTAAAACACCTGAAGAAGCTGAATAGCCAATAGTGAAGCAGGAGAGAGAAATAGGCGGGGCTGGCAGGCAGAGAGGACAAATATGAGGAGACATCTGGAAGAAGAGGGAGCGAGAAGAGGAGAGGAGGACGTCAGGGGCCAGCCACCCAGATACTCAGTCAGCCACAGAGTAAGAGTCAAAGTAAGATATACAGAATTAAGAAATGGTAAAAGTCCAGAGGTAAAAGGTAGTCAGGATAATTTAAGATGAGAAAAGCTGTCAAGCAAAAAGCCAAGCTAAGGTCGGACATTTATAAGAATAAGCCTCTGTGTATAATTTATTTGGGAGCTGGGTGGTAGACCCCTCGAAAAGCCAAAAGAGTATAAAAAGTAAATCAACAACAAACTATAGGGATGGAACATTCAAAGAAAGCTATGGAAAGACATTCTAAAACAGTCTATGTAACATCTATCGTCAGCACCACCACTACCACCACCTCCCTTTTATCTGTCTGAGTGTTTGGCCCGAATGCATGTCTATACATCACTGCATTTGCACACTTGGTTCTCGAGATCATCAGATCCCCAGGAACTGAAATTACAGATGGTTGTGACCTCCCACGCAGGTGCTAGGAGTCAAACCTAGGTCCTCTTGAAGAGCAACCAGCGCTCTTAACCCAAGCCATTCTTTGTCAGTTGTTTTCTGGGGCAGCATCTACATGGCCTAGGCTGGCCTCCAACTCAGTATGTTGTTGCAGATGCCCTCAAGCTCCTGATGCTCAAGCTTAAACCTTTTTGCCTTTTTTTTTTTTTTTCGCTGATGGGAATTAAACTTAGAGCCCACTAAACAAATGCTTTTCTGTTGAGCTATGTCCCCAGCCCTGTCACGGATTTTTTTTTCACTTCTGGAGCTGTACTTACAGGTGGTTGTGAGACACCATGTTGGCAATGGGAACTGAACCCAGGTCCTGTACAATAGCAGCAAGTGCTCTCTTACCTACCGAGCCATCTCTCTAGCCCCTATCATTGATTTTTTTTTTTTCTGGCTGTCCTAGAAATGTATTATGTAAACCAGGCTGGCCTCAAACTCACAGAATTATGTTTGCCTCTGCTGTGATTAAAGACTAAGCTCCCAAAGCACCCGGCCCTATCATGGATTCTTAACAATCACATATGTAATAAACCCACAGGAATCCAAGAACATAATCCCTAAGAAATTCGCATCACCTATAAGTTACCCGGGATTTAAGAGAAAAGGCTTCAAGTTAGTATGTGTAGGGACAGGGTTACAGTACCAGGGATCTGCACGTTCTTCCTGACTCTAGACTTCATTCCATCCAGCTTCATTTTGAAGACTCCACAACGAAGTAAGAATGGCAGCACAATGTCCACAGGTAACGTCTACATTTATTTTATACCAAAAAAGTTATGTGCAACAAATAAACATTCTTACATATTTACAAGTTTTTATTTACCAGTTAGCAAAATGGTGTCCTAAATCTCTGATAAAGAATATTTTTATCTGTATTAGAGAAGGATCTTCCCAGTGAACGCCTTTTTACATGAATGTTTCCTCAGGAGTTTTCAAAGCATGAGTACTATTTTAGATGGACACACTTCACAGGTCATATACACCTATTATTTAGGCCATGCTCAATACAGCTTCATAACAGTTCATCTCTTCTGGGCCAATTAGTTTCAGAAGGGGGCAGGGGATGTTTGATCAAGTGCCTGGAATCCTACTCTGCCCTTTGATTGTAGGGTTGTACTCACAAATTCGAATTCATAAATGTGCTGCCTCAAATGCTAAAAGGTGTAGAGGGGCAGGCTCACTGATGTATGCTGGAGGAAAACACAGGGAAGGGTAAAATCCATATCCCCAAACACTTCCTGGAAATGACAGTGAGGAGCTTTGCTGACATTTTCCTGACTTTTAAGGTAAAGCCACCACCTGTCAGTATTCATCAGAATCAACTGATGGTGCCAACTATAGCTTAGGAAGTAATTGCTGAGCAGTGTTTTTAATTTTTGCTTGTGAGACAAGTCTCATATAAGCCAAGGTTGCCCTTGAACTTCTGGTCCTCCTGTCTCTACCTCCCAAGTACTGGGATTATAGGTATGTGCTACCATGCCTGGCTACACTTTCACTGTAGTCTTTTGAAAATAATTATAAATAAAAACAAACAAAAAAAAAGCAACAATATTAATCTCATTGTCCTCTATCTTACCTCATAGGTAAAGGATATCTTGTACCAAATGAAATACTTTTCTATATGTATGGGTGTTTTGCCTGCATTAATGTCTATGCACCATATGCATGCAGTGCCCTTGGAAGCCAGAAGAGGGCATCGGATCCCCTGAACTGGAGTTACAGACTGTTGCTAAGCTGACGTGTGGGTGATAGGAGCTGAACCCAAGTCCTCTGCAAGAATGACAAGTGGGCTTTATCTCTTTATATGAAAAAAAGTCAATGTCTTTCAACATTCTTACATATAATAAATTTGAACCACTCATTCTAGCACTTGGGAGGCTAAGGCAGGAGGAATGCCAACTTTGAAGCCAGCCTGAGCTACGTACTGAGTTCTAGGACAGCCTAGGCTACAGAGCGAGATCATGTGTCTTTAAAAAAATACAAAAGAACAACAATAACAAAAGAGTCAAAGGAGAGGCTACATACATGAAGCAAAAATAGTTTCTGGAATGCAGCTAGTGCAACTTGTTAGACCTGAGTTGTTCCAGTTTATCCTCCTGATAGAAAGCAGCTGTGGGGAAGGGCCAGCCACAGTCCTGGAGCATGCCTAGGCAGAACTTCTCGTATTCCTTCAAACACCACCACTGTGGAGTGAAAGGCTTCACAGAATTACTGTCAGAGTCACTGTCCTGCTAGTCTGCCCTTCCGCATGTGTTGTTAGCTCTGCTTCAGTGTTTACTATTATTTTGTGGGTTTCACTATATAACCCTGGTTGGCCAGGAGCTCACTATCGAGACCAGGCTGGCCTCCAACTCAGAGATCCACCAGTCCCTGCCTCTCAAATGCTGGGATTCAAGGTGTGTGACACTATGCCCAGTCAAACCCAGCTTCTTCAGTGTTTAAATATTCAGTCTGAACGAGTCATAATAATACTAGCAGTTTTATAGCACAGTATTTTCTCCCCCATTTTACTAGGTTTAATAGAAGGTACAGAGAGGAACCTGAATTTCCTCAGGGCAAAACTACCAATAAAACACAATAGGGTTGCTTACTGAGAACATATACTTTAGCAAACTCTTCTTTTCTTTCTTTTTCTTTTTCTTTCTTTTATTTTAAGGATGGGACTGCTATAGCTAAGGCTGGTCTCTAATTTTCTATGTAGTCAAGGATGACCTTGAACTCCTGATCCTCCTGCTTCTACCTCCCAAATGACGGACCACAGCACACAGTTCGGCATTCTTATTTCAGACAGCACCTGTTAACTCTCAGTGAGAAAAGGGTATTCATTCTGTTAGGTCACAGGAATGTAATAAACAAACAAAAAATTCATACAATCTATAATGGTAGTACTCCCAAGACTTAGGAAAGCAAAGGGGAACCATGACGGATGTGGTGGATGGGACACTCTCACCTTTTCTTGAGTAAGTGTTGTAGACACCTGTAATGTCAAGACAAGCTTTAACGCCACTCTGCTGAGTGATAAAAGATAGAAAAGATCATTTGGAATTGGGACCCAAGGGACTTGTTTAGCACAGCCTTGATATGTAAGTAGCAGAAATCTTGGCTATTAGCCATTTCCACTGCCTTGGGAGAGCTGGACGAAGGGGTACGAGATGATCTTACTGTACACTTTTCCCATGAGGACTTGGTCCTCCATAAATACCATTCAGTACTTTCTAGAAGTTCTTTAACTACTTCGAAGACAACAACAATGCGTACATAGTAAGACAGTCATGGAAATGTTCACATTCTTGAGGAAATACACCTTTGATGAAATCAGAATTAAGCTGTCTTAAGAAACTGGTTAGAACCTACTAAAAGGGCATTACAATTCACATTTTATACCTGCCCTGGGCCAGAACTCCTACAGTGCATCAGTTGTGACTGAAGGGCGTAAACCACTCAACTGCTGACTGTTCTTTACAAAGCAAAGTCTGTTCCCTCCCTCCAAAAAGAAGGCAAATAAAAGGTCTCCAAATTTGCCATCTAGTTGTCTATTTTTAAAATAATGATTAACCAAATCATAAACAAAAACACTTCCACTACTTCTCAACCCAAGGAATAAAATGGCCACACAGCCCCTTCTGGTAGAATGCAAGTTCTCTGTTTCATGGTAAGGAATGAAAGGAGGGATACTTCTGCCCCAGTCCAACACACAGAATAATTTGGTTTGAGATTTAAGACAGAAGGCACTTTTAACATCTCCTGTAAGATGCTAACCAGAGAAACACAGTCACCATGTCCTCCAGGTTTATTCAGATCACCTCTGGGTTTCTTCTCACTGCTGCTGTGTGGCTACTGGAGTGGGACAAAGTCTCTAGGTCTCACTTTCAGGTCTTTCTATGTGTTGTGTTTCTTCTGAGTCAGCAAACCGGTCCTCGTGTCAGCCCTAAGGTTTACAAATTCAATATGTGATTCTGAAACACTGACAATCCTTGGTGCAGAAGAAATGAGAAAGGAAACACTATGGACCAACCTTGGAGCACTTGGCTTGTGCTTATTTCAGTCCTAATACTGCTGAGCGGACTGGCACCAGTTTCAAAGGAACACATCTGTATTGAAAGGTCAGCTACTGTTTAAGAGGCTTTGCCCAAAAATGCCATGGTGGTTTCAGTTATTCTCCATTTCCTACCATCAGTGTCCCAAAAGCCTTGGAATTAAAGGTCTGGTCACATGACATCCTAAACAGTTAGGATCCATCCAGCTTTATTCAAATTGGATGTTCAAATTTAACTTCTTCCTCTCAGAGTAGGAGATGCAGGGAACCAAGCACCCTACTGTTTCTGCTGTCAACCTCGTACCAGGGCTGTCAGCACATTTCCCGAGATGTTCTGTCGGTGTCTACTACCTCCACTATGCATCAGTCGTCATGAGCTGACAATTCCTCATTGCTACACTTCAACTCAACTGTACAGTAAGTTCTGCAGGGGTGGATCCAATGTTTCTACCTTTATTTACAAATATCACATGAATGGACTCTAATTGAATCTACAGGTTTAAATCCATCAGCTAAAAACATATTACATGTTGTAAACATGGCAATATTTAATACAGTATCTATTCTAAAATATTTTCATGTTCATGATCACATTTGTTATACCTGAAATTGAATTTTTACACATTAAAGAATTACTAGCAATGGCTGCTCACTTTACGGTTAAGGACTGGGGGCAAGGGCTACATTTTATTATCTCAGAAACATCTTCAAGGTAAAGTTAAAGCTTGTCTTTGATTGGCTCGGTGTATCCTTTTTTGTATCCGGATTTAAAATGAAGATTGACACAGAAAATAGCTAGGGCCCCTTCTAATTTACAGTATTTTTTAAAAAATCAGTTTAAGATTCTCAGGGAAAGTGTCTGTTGTGAATTTAAAAAAAAAAAAACTTGCAAAATAAACTTAATGAAAGAAGTGTTTGAGACAGTCGAGTGGGAATCCGCCAGCCGTCAGTCTTCCTTAGGCTGCAGCTGTCGCTTCCAAGCCTCATTCAAGTAAACTAGTCGTTTGTAATTGATGATAAGGAGGATGAAGTTCAGCACATATGTGGTGACGCAGATGATGCAGAACTCCTTCAGCACAAAGTACAGAATGTAGGCCAGGTACAAAGACCCCACCACGGACACGATGGAGGAGGTCATGAGAACAAGAGCTGCAACTGCGCTGGCCGTCATGCCTGCAAGAGAGAGACACAGCTAGATCAGGGCCTGGCCTGGACAGAAGTTTCTCAACTGATAAGTAACAGGCTGTGGCTAAAAGCAGTAGTGTATCAATACTGACCTTACCTTGACTATGAAAACAGAATGCAAAAACCACCCGTCTGTTTTAACATTAAGCAGGCTGAATTTTACTGAAAGGACTGCTTCAGAGCTGCCAGGCATCTGATCTGTTACTATTTCACAAGAAGTGTGCACATGAACTATGCAAGCTTGCAATTACTTTAGGCAAAGGCGTTGACAGTCTCCTAAAGAGCACAGGAATGAGGGCTGCAGCTTTCCTTTCAAGCCATCCCTATTGGGTAAGATCCTCCTCTCTGATGTTTCACTATAGGTTCCCTATCTGGGGAGAATGTTTAGATCGAATTTACCAAATACCCAGACCTGGTGATACCCTTGCGAACACTGGCTGAAGAGGAAAAAACAAAACATAAAGCTTTGAAACACTTTAGGATAGCTAGTTGGTAAATAAGGACAACTACAGCAGGCCAGTAAGCCTCATGTGCATTAAAACAATTAGGAAAAAAGGCAGTTTGAGCCAGGTGTGGTAGCATATGTCTGTAATCCAGCACTCTGGGGCTGAGGCAGAAGAACTGAAGACTGGAGCCTGCCTGGTTTACAGTTAAGACCCTGTCCCAAGAGGGGGGTATTTGAAGCCAGGGCTCAAGACAAAAGTGTGTCTGGAGTCTTGACTCCCTTCATATGTACTCTTGTGTAACTGCCTAATATCAGAGACACAAAGACTATGCCAGTGACACCACGGCTATACACATTTATTTTCAAGGTCAAAAAAGGCAGAGCTTATAGCTAGTGTGCCAGCAAAGCCTAGACTATGTTCAACTATCTCAAATTGCACTGCCCCCACCTGTGCTAAATCACCTGTGCTAAAAGTCGAAGCCTAATGGTTAGTGTTGACACCTTTGTCAAAGTTTTAAAATGATGGGAGAGTTAGGCATGGCAATCTACTCTGTAATCCCAGCACTCAGGAAGGGAAGACAGGAAGGAGGTCTTCTGTGAATCTAAGGAAAGCCAAGGCTATGAGTTCTAGCCTCATCTGAGATATGTACACAAATAAATATTTTGAGAAATGATACCGGTGAGCTAGATATGAAGATCAGTAGTAGATCTCTTATCAACTAGATGTACAAGGCTATGGGTTCAATACCAGCACTGCAAGCAAACAAACAAAAAATAAAATGATATGTAAAGTATTGCGTTTTTCTCTGCTCAAATTTCAACAGTTAACTCCTAAATCTGTTGTGAGAATTAAGTGAGCGAAGCTAGAGCTTGACTATTTGGGCTACAATAAGGTGCTCAGAGTGCCCTGTAAGTACTGCTACTCTGTAACTGTGGCATATGCAGGCACTTGTCATTTGAGGAAAAACTGAGAACTTTATAACATGCCATAACTCTAACAATAGAATATTATATAGCTGCAAAAAAACCAAAACAATGTATCCATATAAAAATATGGAAAAAGAGCCGTGCAGTGGTGGTGCATGCCTTTAATCCCAGCTGAAGCAGTGAGTTTGAGACCAATCTGCACTACAAAGAGAATTCCAGGAAGGCCAGGGCTGTTACATACAGAAACCCTGTCTTAAAAAACAAAACAAACAGACTACACACACACACACACACACACACTATCATTAAGATAGATCATAGATCAGTCAAGCAAAAAAGAAGGATCAAAGGGGGAGAAAAGAAAGAAAGCTGTAAGACAGGAAACAGCATTTGCTTTTTATGTTTTGAAAGGAAAGAAATTAGACCATGTGTTTGTATCTTTTATATATGCAAAAACAAACCAGAACCATAAACTGGTGGGGGGTAAGGGCAAAGGAGATAAAATGAGGTGGAACTGAGGTGGGATTATTTTTCACCACACAGCACTGTATGAAAAAATTAATTTTAAATGATGACAGTCACATAGTCCACCAGGGAGTGAGGTGATGAGCTCCGGATGTGTTAGAAGATTCAAAAGAACTGACACTACAGAAGTATATGGAAACTAGAAAGTCAGGAACCTGAGTGGAAACAATGCGCACGATGAAACTATGCATCATTTAATGGAACCAACACATTACTGTTAGAAATGGAAACATGTCTCGCCTCAATTTCCCATGTAAGCATGGATGACTGTTTTCCCTAAGCACTCTCCTATAAGGGGAAAGGAGTTGTTCCTTGAGTCGGGATTATACTTTAGAAATCCCTCAGAACCAATAAATTTGAGATGAAACTTCTCCCTTCCAACCACAGAATCCCTCACGATGCTTTTACATGCACATACAAACATGATTACCCTATTCTTTAAGCTCCATTTTGCTTGTTTCTTTCTGGACAGCATCTTAATCTATTCACACTCACTTTTGCTTTAATGACTACACAGAACTTTCTAATATGGATACGCCCTCATTAGCTCAGCCATTAAATACTGCTGAGTTCCCAGTGATAGCTTTGCTATTTTAAATTGCATTATCATTCCTATTTCTGCAGGATAAATATGTGCATTCAGAATTGGACAAACTTAATAAAACTTTTTAGAAAAAAAATCATATTCCAAATGTGAATCATACAAGCAGACTTAACTGATCACTGCACAGAGGAGCTGACAAACAATGGAACAGAATCTTAAACAGTTGAATTGCAAAGCACAAATGGTAGCACTAGACCCAAAGCAAAACTACAAAACCAACATTTCAAAGGATAAGCGGATTATCACAAATAAGCTTAGTGGGCAGCAAGAGGACATTAAAATACAGTCAAATTACAAAGATGGCTACTAATACTTGATAACTAGAAAATCTGACAAGAAAACAACCTTTCAAAAGAAGATTAGGGGGAAAAATGAAGATTAGATGGAGACCAGATGACAGGGGTGGGGTGGGGTGGGACGACAGCAATTTGGCAATAACTGATAAAATCCATTTTAAAAAAATCTTTTTTTGACTCATTAACCTCATACCTGGAAATTTATTTCAGGGAAATAACTCGAGGGAGGTGCTTTAAAGAAAATGGATCCCTGTGGCATTATTTAGTAAAAATGTGAAACTGAGATGTTCACAAACACTTAGGACAACGATATTGAAAATAAGAGAGCATAAGACTTCTATTTTTTTTTTTTTAAGCAAAAGGCAGGGCTGAAGATGTAACACAATTATACAATTCTGGGTTTGATCCCAGCACCACAGGGGACAAAGCAAAGACCCACTAGATACGGAAACAGCAGATACATAAACGCGATGAAAACTATAACAGCTTACTGCCGTTTACTTAATATGTGGTATTTTAAAATAGCTCAAGTCTATAATGTCATTTTAAAAACGAGTTTACAAGACTGGAGTAATAATTTCCACAAATGGGGCTGGGTTTCTGGACATCAGGACACACTGCGAGTCACGACTAAAGGTCCACTGACATCAAAGTCAATAAATCATAAAAAGCAGTGAACCACATTTTCACAAAAATATGCTGCACCATAGTGGTTCTCTATCATCAGCATGTGCTTTTTACTACGATGATATAATTTAGGCGAAGACACAAGCATTGAATGGGCATAACAAGCTTATTTCTGTATCTCTGTATAAATACTTACCAAGTAATAACTGTAGTATATAAAATATAAGTCCAAAGACACTGTTTGGCTGGTTTAATACACCATCTTTTCCAAAAATGGAACCCAAAAGACCAAATCCTCGACCCCATCTGTAAAATAAGGAAAACCAGTAACCCTATATTTGAGATTCCCTAATTTTTAAAATGTAAAATTATTTGAGAATGTTATCCAATTCCAAAATAACTATGTTCACAAAAACACTTAAATATCTTTTGTTCCAAGAATGATTTACGCACAGGGGAAGGCCAATCACTAACTCCTGTATTGTGTCTGATTTAAACTGATGGTTTAATAAAACTTCCCTACAAATCTCTGTATCTCCATCTAAGACCCCAGGTTCACCTTCTCTTCTCCTGAAGTAGGCAAAGATATCTTTCCTGACCACACTCAAGGGAAAGCCTCTCTCAACTCATATCACCCTCTCAGACCTTTCCAACTAGGGGATTCTTAGAAGTGTGGGCTGTTCTTGCACTACAGTGGTTAGCAAGGTCCCTGGCCTCCACCATTCCATTTCCCACTCTCAGCTGTGATCACCAACCAAAGCCTCAGCCACTGCTAAGTGCCCCCGCTGAAAACTACTGATGTGGTCCCTTCCAAAGCTGTACTCAAAATCAACAGACTGAGAAGCTGCTTACTGGAAACTTCACCAAGGTAAACAAGAGGAATAGATACCCCAGGACAGATCTTTGAATGCAGAGAAATACCAGAAACACTGGTCTCTTCTAAAATCCTGCTTCCCAAGTAAAAATCTGATACCTCACATTCCACTATCTGCTTTCATTAAAGTTTAACTTTAAAATTTGTGACTTTACATATTCAGAGTCTTTTAAAATAACTTTTATTGAGTTTGTTCTTTGACAGTTCCATACATGTATAGATTTCATTCTGTCCACCCCTTTAATACCTTTCCCACTTCTACTACCCATGCTAGAATCCTCTCTTTAAAAAAAAATGCATTATTAAAATCATGATTTAATAAGATAATACAAACAGACCAACAGTAACGTAACCTTTAAAAACCTTAAGAGACTTCTGCTTTAACTCAGAATGACAGTGCTTCCTAAATCCAAAAAGGAAATAACCATAGCGTTTAGCAGGATACACTGGAATATCACTTCAACTCTGCTGTAAAGACAAACGTCTGAAAATAAGAACGAACAATCACGTCACGCTGGATTAAAGGACTTCATGCCAAAGCAAGTGAACAAAACCCCTCCACATTGATGTTGAAAAAAACCATTCCAATCTTGGAACTGAGAGCTACAGAGAATTTTTATTACATAGACTTACACATTTCAAACTACAAAGTCAGTTCTATTACTTACATGTATTCTCTTCATTCATCACATATTTATTGAAGAGTACAGACACTGAGGTACAGCACCCTACAGACAGCACTGTCCTCATGGGATTTACATTAGTTATGGCAAAAATAAAAACAAAAAAAATCATTACCTAGTACATAACATTCAGGATTGAACAAGCCTACTCAGATACACAGAAGAATGGGGGTGGGACGTTCCAGGGCAGCACCTGGTACAATGAAGTGACCTAGTGAAGACTTGTCAACAAAATGCAGATTTTGCCTCAGTGGGCTGGCAGTGGGGCTAAGACATTCAACAAAAGGAGCTGAGGCTGGGGTGCATGTCTGTAATCCCAGCACTCTGAAGGTTGAAGTAGAAGGATTATCATGAGTGTGAAGCTAACCTGAGCTACACAGTGAGTCCCTAGGTCAGCCTGGGTTACAAAATGAGACCTTGTGTCAAAACAACAATAAAAATAACCAACTAGAAATGCATCTCCCATTTGAGCCAGCTGTAGCAATTGTAGTTATTTCTCAGAGTGGCTCCAAGGTTGCACATGGATATTTACTGCATGCTGTGGATAGTGAGCTCAAACCCCAGAACTCACATAAAAGTGGAAGGCGAGACTCCACTCCACATGTGTGCCATGGCCATTCACCACCATCCCTGTCCACATCATGCACGCACAACTATATACAATAATAATAAATTTTAAAAAAAAGTTAGGGCCATTGAAATAGCTCAGTGGTAAAGGCCTTTGTCACCAAGCCTGATAAACTGAGCTCAATTCTCAGGACTTACTATAATGAAAAGAACCAACCCTACAAGTTTCCCTCTGATATGCCATTGGCATGCATACACACACCCGTAAGTAATCTTGTCTGAACAACCAAAGAGTCAGTGTTGGTGGAACATACAAAGAAAATAAAAAAATTAAAAACATTTTTTTTTAACTGTGTAACCCTAACTGGCCTGGAACTCAGAGATTTGCTTCTGCCTCCTTAGTGTGGCAATTAAAGGCATGAGGCACCACACTTACAAAAAGATCATTCTGAAATGTGTATGGTTATATAGCTCTATAATCTCAGGACTTGGGAGGCTGGAGCAGGAAGAGAACGAGAAGTTAAGGCGAGCCTGGGCTATAAAGTGATCTCTGTGTCCATGATTTATTATTATTATTATTATTATTATTAGCTGCAAAATGACTCGGCAGTTAAGAGTACCCACTGCTCTCGAAAAGGACCTATGTTCAGTTCCCAGACCCCATTGTCAGGTGGCTCACAACTGTTTGTAACTACAGCTCCAGGGGATCTTATTACATACTCTCTGGCCTCCTTGGGCATTGAACAAACAAAAATGAACACACACACACACACACACACACATACACACACACACTTTAAATAAAAATAAGCTGGGGGCTGGAGAAACACTGGCTGTTCTTCCAGAGGACCTAGGTTTGGGAAACACAGCAGCTCACAACTGTCTATGGTTCCAGTCCCAGGGGTTCTGACTCAACTCCCTCTTCTGACCTCTTCAAACACCAGGCATGCATGTGGTTCACAGACATACAGGTAGGCAAAACACCATACACACAAATACATAAAATAAAATTTTTAAATAAAATAAAAATAAGCCATGAGTAGCAGTGTATGTCTTTAATCCTAGCATTCAAGAGGCAGAGGTGCATCTCTGTGAGTTCCAGGACTGCCAGGACTATTACACAGAGAAATCCTGTCTCAAAAAAACAGTAATGGTGCTAATAAAAATAAATAAATATAAAAAGCATTCTAGCCTCAGTGTTGGCCAGGTGCTGATATTTGGAAGGTACAGGTCCCAGAACTTGCTACCAGATGGAACACAGTACAAAGAAATGATGCAACAATGAGGACTTTGACCTGAGTAGCTGGGAAAAGAAGTTGTGTTTTCTGAGCTAGGAAAGATATGATCGAAACTCAGCTTTGGACACAGGTTTATGTGGCCTTTGTGTATCTATGTAGAGCTGACAGATAAGCAACTAGATGTATCAACTTGCAGCGCAAGCTAGAGATAAATTTGGTGATAGTCAGGATATGAGTGGAATTTTAGAGTCAGGAGACTTATGACATCAACAATAACCTTTGATAAATGGTTAAAGGCATCAGAGAAGGCAAGGGTGAACATGTGGCTAAGGACTTTGGTGATTTATGTTTCTGTTTACATAAACATCAACTGATCTTGTTTCAGTTGTCAATCCTTTGCCTTCAGATATTCTCAGATGCCATATTTCAGTAAAACAACACCCAGACGACATTAACACACTGGGTTTCCTCAAGTAACTTCAGATCTGGTGGCTTTCCCTTTAATTGTCCCTGAAAGTTAAATGTACTTTCTATATACCTTGTAATGGAGACTCTGGATTTCTCATCAAAACCTGGCTGAGAGGGGATGAGGAGATGGCTGATTTTGTAAAGTGTTTGCAATGTAAGTAAAGAGATCCAAGTTCAAGCCCCAAAATTTCTGTAAAATGCTAAGTGTGATGGCACCTGTAATCCCAGTTAGGGGGTGGGGCACAGGCAAGTGAATACCTGGGACTTGCTAGGGGCCAGTCCAGCTAAATCAGTATGTTCCTGGCCAGTGAGAGACTGTTTCAAAGAATAAAGGTGGGAATATGCAAATGGTTCAGTGGGTAAAGACCCTTGCTGCCAAGCCTGACAACCTGAGTTCAATCTTTACGATCCACATACATGGTGGATAGAGAACTGGTTACCTCAAGTTGTCCCCGACCTCCAAATATTTCTGTGGTATATACACACAAACATGCATAAATAAAAAACTAAAAAATTAATAAGGAAGAGGGAAATTAAGAAGTCATTCAGCATTGACCTTCTGCCTCCACATGTACTGGATACACATACACACAGTCTGTGGACTCAGCTGAGGGCATTCCAACCACTCATTTCTATGAACTTTACCTCTTTTTTCTTTTTTTTTTTTCTTTAAAGTTTTGATGTGAGGCTTCTTATTTTGTAGCCTATACTGGCCTAGAACGATGTAGCTCAGACTGGCCTTAAATATGTGACAATCTTCCTGCCTCAGCCTCCCAAGCATGATTACAGGTGTGAGCCACCATTCCTGGTTGAGTTTTACTCTTGAATCAACCATAACCACCAGAAAGCTGTCTTTGGACAACACTGGTTTTTTTTCCTTCGAGGGTTTCTCTAGCCCTGGCTGTCCTGGAACTCACTCTGTAGACCAGGCTCACCTGATACTCAGGAGATTTACCTGCCTCCGCCTCCTGAGGATAGGAATTAAAGGCATACACCACCACTACTCAGCTGTACTGTCTTTTAAACCGCTTCCTTGAAGTCTAACGCTGGTATTATGTCTTAACAACTACTAAAGGGAACATTCTTTTATTAAAAGAATGTAAAAGGGAATACTGCATTTACTAAAGGAATGTTGCCAAAACACCTATAGCTATATATTCCTATGTTGCACTTTAAAGAAGATTAATATTAATAATTAATGGAGAGAGAAGGCTTTGACCTTCAAGGTCATGCTATGTTAGCATCAACTCAATCAGGATAGCTTTGAATTAATAGTAATTTCCTGCCTCTGTTACTCAAGTACTAGGACAACCAGCATGGTACCTCACCTAGCTTTAATATTTCCTTTTCAGGTAGTCTGCCAACTAGGAATAGTAAAGCAGGCCTATAACTCCAACACTCCAGAAGTGAGGCAGAGCACAAGGTCTAAGATGAGTGACATGAAGTATATAAGGTTTGATTCCATGTTTTTACAGT